CTTCGGAAGGTAGGAGACACTGGACAGTCTGAGGAGTGTGTGTAATTTTTGCTCTACCAAGATCAATCTGATTGCTATTAAGACTCAACCGAAAGAAGAGATATTGCTGTAACCAGGCAGGGCTTAATGGTGACCTAGGCCAGGTGATCACAATGACACAGAGAAGAGTCTGAAAAGTGTTGACAAGATTTGATGGTAGGTTAGATGTGGGCATGAGAAATAGACAAGTCAAGGATGACTGTGTGTTGGGGCTGGGGAGATAACTCAGTGGTCTCAGTGTTTGCCTGCCAAGTGCAAGGACCCAGGTTCAATCCCTGGTACTACATGTAGTGTCAGTCCCATGCTGAGCTGGCCACCAAAACTGGGCATGGTGGTGCACTCCTCTAATCCCAGCACTGGGAAGGCTGAGACAGGAGGATCCCTATGAGTCTGAGCTGCGTAGTGAGACCCTGTACCAAATAAATAAATAGGATTTCTTTTAAAAAAAGCATAACTCTATGTTTAATACAATGCTTTATTTTTTAAAAAATCTAAATTAAACATGTTGAAATGTTAACTTTTGAAAGACGTAGGGCAATCATCAGCTATGTATTATTTTCTGTTTCTTTCTGAAATGAAATGAATGACAATATAGGCTGTACAACACTAGGAGATGGCTGAGGTTTTCCTTTAAAAATATGAATCAGTATTCACTAATTTATGCCTCAAAACAATTAAAATACATCTCTGCTTCCTAATTTATGTTAACAGTTTATGTATCTATTAAGTGTTCTACCTTACAGAGACAAATCAAACGCTAAAATAGGCCATTTACTTTGGCCTTTGCTTCCACATTTTACAAGAGAAATTTACAGTCTTAACATTTTCTACAGAAGATTCTCCTGGGTGAAACTCTTCTTCCTCTAATTCTATAACTAATCCTGGATATTACATACTGTGAAGGTTAATGAAATAATTTAAGCATAGCAACTCATGGTAATAACTGTACACCTTTACGTTTAGCTTATTTATTCATGAACTCGACCACTTTTCATAGTGTCTATAATATTGATGTGTTGTTTATTGCATTTAAGAGAATGGGGTAAAATTCTGAAAGTTTTATCCTTTGTTTAACAGAAAAGCATTTATGCAGAAAGTCGCAATGAAAAATTCCTATCCACTCTGTCTTAAACATCTAGTCCTTTTAAATAGTTATAGAGTCAAAATAAGGCAATCAAAGGTCTACATTCTTTGTACATGTCTCTTCCCACCATTTGATATTTCTTGCCTCATCAGCTGCTTCCCATATCATATCTTTCAGGGAATCAGGTAACACATAATTACAAGCAATTCTCATGGTTCTCACAGAAACCTGAACAACATAACACATTACTGGAAAATACACACAGGAAACATCTGAAATCACTTGGCAGCATGTACAATAAAGCCTACACGTTCTAGATATAAACCTTAGAATTCAAGTTGAAAACAAAGCTTTTTAAGCTTCTCCTTTCATACATTAATAAAACAAAGAATGATGTTGAAAAAATTCCACTGCATGACTCCCAGCCCTTGTGTTGAGATACAACATGTAATAAACTGCCTCAAAAGGAAACCACTACACCACAATACAAAAACCATCACTAGCACCACCTCTAAATTCTTACTCATTTTAATTACAAAAATAAATATATCCCACTCTCTGGAGATGAGAAGGGGGTGAAATAAAGCCATAATTGTGTTTTAACCATATATACATGTGGAAAACAATTTCCTACAATAGTAATTCAGCAACTGCTTTGACATAGAGACTATTTCAGTCATGTAAAAGTCATGGCCCATTGACATCTGTTAGTCTTGCTTAAGGCCTCCAAAGTGCCACAAAATTACTGACAAGGATGAATTTTATGGACATACTAGCTAACTAGAACCACAGCAAAGTATGTGGTTATGTGGGAAAGGCATCAGATCAGGTTTTAAGTTAACTTCTGTCTCAGGATTTCAAAATTCATGTTAACACAACTAAGCCTCAGTTTCTTCAAGAAGAAAGTGAATGAGGTTAAATATGATGAAAGTCTAAGATCCCCTTCAGTTATTAAAAAAAAAAATCTAATTTTAACAACATGATTATTTTGTAATAAATAACATGTTTATTTCAGTCCAAAAATTTGAAGATTTCAAAGATAAAAATACTAGACTCATTTCTCATTATACTAAAATCCAGGACCCCTTATCGAGCCCAAAATGTAGAGGTGTTTAAATTTCTTATATAAAATGATGTAATGCTTGAAATAACCTATGTATGCCCTCCTGTACACTTTAGATAGCCACTACATTGTGTTATCTAGCATATGGTCAACGTTACATAAATAGTTGTCACACTATATTATTCAGGGAATAATGATAAGAAAAAAAAATTACACACTCATACAAACACAATTTTTTTCCCCAAATACCTTCAATCTGCCACTGGTTGAATCCACAGATAGAGGAGCGACGGAAAAAAAGGCCAATGGTCTTCTGTTAAAGTCTTACGCTTACCTTCAACCCTGCGCCCTGCTCCTCACCCCTGTATCCCGTAAGCTCGTGCACACAGTCACTCCAACAAGCGTTTGTGTGATCTTCCAGAGCTTTCGTTACATATGAAAAACACAAATACCGACTCATACCTCTTCTCTGACAACATATCACACTTAATACCTACAGATCTCTACAAATCACTGTGGACAGCTTTCCACAGGGACATGCAGATTCCTCTCATTCTTTTGGAAAGCTGAACGATTCTCATTAGATGAAGAACCAAAATCTAACCAATGCCATGTTGATAAACACTTTAACTTTTTTCTTTCTTTTTCTTTTTGTCTTTGTCAGTATGTTACACTGGCTGGTCTTGAACTCCTGATCTCAAAGGTTCCTCCTGCCCCAGTTTCCTGAGTGTGGGGCTTGCTGGGACTATGAGCCCTGCAACACTTGAATTTTTCTCTAGTTTTTTTGCTATTATAATATTGCAAAACACAGTGCACTTTTATACACGTTATCTATACAGTATATTTTGAGGAAAAATTTCCAGAAGTAGAGATCCTGAGTCAATGGGGAACCGCATCTCTAATTTGAAGAAATGTGCCCCACTGCCTTCCACACTGTTGTGCCACTTGTATTTTCACAGAAAACCTCTGTTCGTCTAGACCCACCTCAACAGAGTGTATCCCTTCTTTTCTTTGGCTTATACCGCTCATCTGCTAACTGGGCAGCACCTCAATCAGATTTCCATTTGCATTTCTCCTACCGTGATGGTTTGACTAAGTATTACTTAGTTCATTCCCTTTATCCAATCTCTAAGTTGCTGGTCTTCATCTTAATTTTTACAAGTAAAAATTCTGATATTTCCAGAAAAGAGAGCCTCAAGCAACTGCATATTAGCAGTGGCTCCTATGCAGATGATATTTAATCGCATCTTGAACGCTTACAGAGTCTAAGAAGTCATCACTGAGATTCTCTCATTGGCAGGCACTTGTTACCTTTACTCAGCATCCTACAAATAACTTACTCTATCCATTAAGAAACACTCTTTTTCTTTAAGAATCTAGAGGCAGAAACAATTTGGAAGGCCGCAGGAAGATAATTTCACCACACCAGAAATCACAAATACTTGGGGGATGGAGCACTCAAATTTGCCAGGCTACCTGGCACAGAAAGGGCGTCTCTGTAGAAAATATGTGTGGCCATATTAAGGGATTACACACAGACTTAGACTTTTATCATTTCCTTGATTCAGTGGGATACCTGGAGATTCTTTTACATGTTCCTATTTCAAGTAGTCTTGAAAACAGTGAAGTGCAGTGACCTGGCTCAGGTCGCAAAGGCAGTGAAGACCAACATAAAAACACGTACATAGGGCTTATGGGCTGCAGCCCTGCCTGCCATCATTCAGCAGAGACTCGGGAGCAAGTCTGCTGCCGACTAAGATCCTCATGGCCCTACGCACGTCCCATAAACTCTCTGTAACTAAGTTTCCTCTCAGCATCCTAATTCTGAGGACCAAATGAGTCACCTCATAACATAAACATAGTGTTATGTCAAAGCTCACCATGTTACCATGAGACCACATGCCACAACTATGCAATTTTATTTTCCAAAGTCAATTGCTAAAGCGGAAATAGCTAAAAGCATCACTTCCAAAGGCAAGAATATGGAGGAAAGACAGCTTAAAAAGCCCGGTGAGCAGTTATGCTACGGATAAGCCAATCGCAACAAAATTAAATGATGGGCACAACATATGACAGCCATCAGAGAAGCAGGAACTTACTCTCTTAATATGGTGGATGGCAGTTTTCCAATCCCTAGACAGCTGAAAAGCTTGATGCAAAACCCCTTTTTACTTTGAGTTTGTCTACTAAGAAGCCCCCATCAGTAAGTTTGTATTTCTTATTTTTTCACAATTTTCTCTTTTGTCCATTTTGCTGTTACTCCCTACATGAGCCTTGGGGGACAACAAACCCAGCACTAAATTACAAGGGTGTTACTTACTAAACATGTGGTTCTTAGACCCCAATCTAAAATGACTTTCATGCATATTTGCTCCCAAATGAGTTATTTTTGTGTGCACGCCATCAAACTGCTGAACAACTGAGGCTAACTTAGCCCCAAGGAAAACGTGACTTGTTGGAAATAAAAAGCTAAAGAAATGCTTCATTAGCATTTTGGTGCATTTTTAAGGCTGTGTCTCTGACATGCTCAGGTCTTTGACCTCAGTCACTTAGCAGCACCGCAAGCTTTGTCACTGCGACACAGCAGCGCAGCTACCAACAATGCAGCAGTTGGTGGAGGACCTGCTGCTGAGCGATTGGGCATAAAAGTCTCAACAGCAGACGTCAGAGTGTGTCATGCTAGGAACACACCACTCTCACTACATCTAAATTCTTCACAGCCCCAACTGCCCAGATTAATAAAGCAATCACCTCACTGAGGAGAGACACCATCCTGAACTATTTACAGCCTGCGAATCATTACTGTATACCAACCTTTGGGAGGAGTGAGATGGACTCCATTCTTAAGGCACCATTGTGCTGGCAAAATCCCCAAAGAATCCACATGGCACAGCATTGAGAGTGTACTAGGTTCTGGCCTTAGGTCATCAATAGTCACTTGAAAAAAATGATTGTTGAAAACCTAAAAAAAAAGAAATAATAATCTTTTGGCATTACATATAGAATGCTAACAGTTTTCAAAGGCAATTAATATACTCCATCAAATTGATCTGAGCATAATCTAGCATTTCAGTGCATTTTACTAAATTAATCTAGTAGTTAATAAGGTAGAATTGATCACTGTGACTATCAATGGCAAGATTAATGGATAAAATATATAGAAGAATTTTTTTAAGTCACTTAGAAAAGCAAGCAATGGCCATAGCTACCAGCAAAACAACTTGATAAGCAAACAGCACAGGCAAACCCCAGCTTAGGAAAGAGCAAAGATGGGAGCTCAAGGGTTCCTCTCAGTAACCCCAGCTAATACCAAATTTCTCACAGAGTCACCCAAAAAGCCTGCACGAGTCTGCCAGGGGAGACTTCTAGCGTTATCCTGTATCACGTCACCCCAAGTATCCCATCCTGCCATCCAACAGGAATCACTGATGCAAACACAGCCCCACTCTGTTTTCACGCCCTGCAGCGCCCAGCTACCCAGCTAGTCCATGAAAACTCACTGCACTCTTCCAAGTGCATCTCCACGCTCAGTGCCCTTGCTCTGCCTGAAATAAAGGGTTCCTGTTCTGTGCTTCTAACGCATCAGATGTAAATCTCCACGCTGAAAATCCTCTTTCCTTCTGTGGACTGGTACATACGCACCCCTTGCCAAGGATGGTGGCCAGCTTTGTATTCATCAAAATTTTCTTAAATGCATAGGGAATGCTTTATATGTATGCTGGATAAATATCCAAAGAATATAAGAAAAAGTCAATGAGGAAAAACAAACTAGGTGAGTTGATAAACCACACAGATACCAAAATCTGATGGTGCTCAACAGTCAAAATAAGCAAACAAAAAATATGTAAAATAGCCCATGAGAAAAATAAAGATGAACCAGTCTTTTTTAGAAAAATCTTAACATTTTTACTACACTATGATTCCTGGGTCCTTCACTTATACTTTTTGGAAGCAGCCTAGCTCTAAGTGCGGCAGGAGCAGAAGAAACTCACTTCACTGCATGAAGATAACTGTCCTGTAAATCCCGGTAAATAATTATGACTCTCCTGCCTGAAGACTGACTGTGAAAGGCCACTATGAGAAGAAAGCACCGAACAGGACCAGTCTTCCCAAGGAACCCTTCCACACCTGCTTTTCTAAAGCCACCCCCTCTTTATGCCTGCACTCCATTAGCCCTTCCCTAGTATACTTTTCACCTCACGGTTTACCGTGTGACATACTCATTGTCTATTTCTCCTGCTACGACATAAGCCCCATAATAGCACAGACTCTGTCCTCGTCCTGCTCTCCAGAGGAGTGCCTGTAGGTGCTCGGTAGCTGTCTGTGAAGTTAATGGAATCTAGTCTACCAGGCTTGTGTGTATGCACAATTATTCACACACATAAAACGTTTTTAAAGAGTCATAAATTCTGTTGCAGGATCTTTAAGCACCACAGGACCTTGTAAATACAGACACTGAGGAATTTCCAGTATTAGTTAAAACGCACATTCGGACACACTTCAGAGGGAAAGCGTAGTAAGTTTTATCAGACTCAATCAGTGTTCATGTTTCCAAATGTTCACAACCACTGCTTTGTGTTTCTTCTCGTCCAGAGAGCACAGGGCTCAAGGCCAAGATTTAGATCAGGTAACTAATTAGCCCACAACTGCATACTGCAGAGTTGAAAGAAAAGGAGCTCTAGAATCCAAACCTCCAGGTCTTTAGACCTCCCTCCTCCTTGGCAGTACCAAGAATTGAACCCATGACCTTTACACTGAGTTACATCTCCAGTCTTCCTCCTTCTTCTTCTTCTTCTTTTTTTTTTTTTTTTTTAAATTTTGAGACAACATTTCACTAAGTTGCTAAGTTGCCCAAGTTGGGCTCAAACTTGCTATCTTCATGCCTCAGCCTCCCAGAGACTTCTAATTCCAGTACTCCTTCCCCTCATTCAATGCATTCCACAAACAAATGACACTGTCATCACTGCCATCAATTGTCAATATCTCATTCTGCTATTCCACGAAAAGGTAATAACTGGATACTGGATCTGCTATACAAGCTTACCTGTTTGCCTGCATTCTTGTCAGTTTGCTTTAATATTATTTAGGTACAGTACCATTAAGAAGAACTCAAGGGGAGAGTGAAATTTACATTGTGATAAGTATGTATTCTGAAAAACAAATACCCTAAAACATTTTTAAATGTTCAGAGAATGGATATTTAATTGTAGATGTCCATTGCACTATGAATATTCTGGCGCTTCGTCATCTGAACATGGCTACTGGTTTGAGGAGCAACCCACATCAAGTCCTAAGAGACACCAGCACAGGATGCAGCTCTCGCATTTCACAGCACCAGGCAGATCATGTGGAACAGAATGGATTAAGTACTTTGCCTCTGGTGCAAGAGCAAGAAAAAATTTTCTAAACATACTTGGAGAATCACTGAAAATAACCCCACCCTCTGCCCTCAGAGGAGCAATGAGGTCACTATTTATAGTGAAAACCCAAATGGCTATCATTGAAAGTCTATCCAACTTGGGTAACAGTGCTTGGAATGAACTAATTACAAATAGTGTGCCATTTTCTAATGTCATGGATAGAAATTACTTAAAGGCATATAAATGTGAGCGAGGCCCCCACCACTGACAGGTAGCGCACTTTAGCTCTCTGGTTCGTTTTCTAAGGTCCAGGTGAAACTGACCTTGCAGCTTTTCAGAATGAGGACAACTTGATATAGACTCAAAAAAGTGGGCAGCTGGCATTGCTGTCACCTACTGTTGGGACAAAAGAAAATTGCGGCCAGGTTTCAGCAAGGTACAACTGTTGAGTTTATACAATAATTTTTGCTGATTGTACAGTACAGCACCATAGTTTAATATTGTTATATATTATAGTGGTGAAGGTTAGGGTTACACAAATAAAAGCAAAGCCATCAAGCTGGAGTTTCCCTTGACCATTTCTTTGTTCTGAATATTGCAATGTACACAGCATGTAATGACCAATTCATGTAACAACTTAAGTCACAAGACCTTAATGCAGCTGCTACATGAGGAATGTCTATAGATCAATCATTATCACTACTATCCCTGCTGAAAGAACAAATTATTACTCCTACACATGCAACTTGCCAAATTTATCAAAGAAGGAAAATTCATCCTATCCAGTCTAAGAAGAGAGATCTGATCAGATACACTCCGCTACCAGTGGCAAATAGCTTTAGGTATCAGCAGCAGCCTGGAGAGGCATTTAAGCCCCTTTGGTTTATTTGCTGTCACTGTAGACCCTTGCATGAGTGTATTTCATCAGCTGATTCACTCTGGAGCAAAGGAGCGAGACCCACCTTGGTCACTGATGCAGGACAGATGTGAAAGGGCTCACTCATATTCACTGTCTCTAGCTTCATCCCGACTGTGAAGAAATGGCTTCGCAAATCTGCATGATCCTGGAGGGAGAAAAATTAAAAATACTGAAAAGCAATGGAATTGTGAATTAGCTCAAGACTGTGTGAATGCCATCCTTGAGCGTTTTCTTAGGCAACTGAATCTGATGGAAATAATTAATCTTCCCCGTTTCAAATTTCTAATTATTGCAAGAGACTGAGGATTTAATTATTTTCTGCAGGCTAAATTGCTTTGCCAAGGAAGAGCAACAAGCCTTTGTGGTAATGCTTAAATTTACACTATGCAGAAACCCCAACATCACACTGCTTTGATCTTCCTAGGTGCTCTCCATGGAAGTACAGCAAAGGAACGCGATGGTTGATCATCTTAAACACAGCAGGGGCATCTTCATGAAGTGTGGCTCTTGCTACTGGAGTTACATCACAGACAGACAATGAGTGCCTGCTGGGTGACAGCTGACCCCTGCTTCTGACTCACCATTAAGGGTCGTAGCCACTCACCACAGACTGTGTGCACATGAGAATCCAAAGGCACCCTGTACCCAATCAGACCCTGACACCTGCTCACTGGAGATGAGTGGCACCCTTTTGTCACTGGTGCCTGGCAGGTCTGCAACCTGCTGGTGGCAACCTGATGGGCGAGCACTGGGGCTTCCCTGCCTCCAGAAGAAAAGTTTCCGTGCACACTTCAACTGTACAGCACCAGATGAGCTCAGCTGGACTGCAGGTACCAAAATCTATCTCGCTGAAATGGAGGTCATCTCAGCACTCACGCTCTGCATAGGTTGAGTGGATAAATAAATGCTGCTGCAGCCTGTTCCTGAGGAAGCAACAACTGCAAATAAATCTTGCTATTTCCAAGTATATCAATCAGGTGTGAAGTACAAAAATATCTGGAGACCTATTGGTTTCTTTTTAACCGGAAATCTAAAGTGAGTTTTTACTTAATTTAATGATGCTACTCTTCATCTACCTCTGAGAAGGGCATGAGATACGGAGCCCGCTGGGCCGTGCCTGCTTCCGCCACCTGCGACCCCAAAAGCTGGCTGTGTCCAACAGCCGACCAGACATGAGGAATTGCTTATGAAATTCTCTGCGGCTCAGTCATTTTCATTTGCCAAAGAAAGTACAGAATATAAACACAGAACTACAAGGACCCTTTCACTTTTCACGTCGCCACGGCAGTCTGCAAAGGTGTCTGTACACTAAGACGCACAATAAACACTAGGTGTGGGAAGGCAATTAGTGCCACATCGGGGGGTGTGAGTGGGTACGGGGCGGGGGAGTTAATCGAAGCAAGAAGCAATGCAGTCCGATGTGAGAAAAATGAATCAAAGGAGCTGACTCATTCTAAATATTTATGAATTCCCCAAGAACCTACAATCAACACTTTATAAAAGTTATATGTGTAAGGAAAAGCACAAGGCAATATTCCTAGGTGCGGGTAATGACTTTCATGGGTTATGCTGCTACTTTTATAAATTCCTTAAGAACTTACAATCAACACTTTATAAAAATTGCATGTGTAAGGAAACTCGCAAGGCAATGTTCTAGATGTGGTGATGACTTTCATCGTGTATGCTGCAAATAAAGTGTTTACTTCTAAGGATGGCAGAGGAAGGTGAGGCAGAAAAGGAATTCAAAGCAACAGTTCACAGAATTAATTTGTATTAACACACATGACCCATAATGCCAAGCCAGGGCTGTACACCACAGCTGGGAGGCTTAAGAGCTAAGCCAACAATGACTCCCTGATGTCTGAATTAACACATTAGAAGTTCCTCTCACACATCAAGATTCCTAGCCCCTATTGGTGGGAACTGAGACACACCTGTAGCTTTCACGGGGAAGTACTTTCTCCCTTTAAGCACAAAACCCTTAAACTTACTCTAAAATTGTAATAAAACTTTGCATGAATGTACTCAGAAAGTTTGAGTAGTCATTATTTTGATGTCTGGTAATTCAGAACTTCCCTGGAACTCTAATGACACAGTTGTGACTGTTAATACATGGCCCAGATAAATGCAATGGCTTCCTGGAAGTCCTACTGCGTCCCCCTCTGTCATGGGATGTCTCTCCCGCTGGAGCAAACCCCTCCCCAGACACTGCTACCAGGCTGACTATTCTTGTGCTCTAGCTCACTAATCACAGGAATGGTCACTTTTCCTTGGCTGCCTCTGTCATCAGGGTTCTTGGGGAATTACCTTTTCTTCATGTTCCCATAATAGGGGAGACTGACAGCAGTCTGGAGTTCTGGTCCTCATACTGTCTTAGCCCCCTCAATTCCAACTCATGATTCACTCTGCTTCTTCATCTACTTTTGCCTTGGCCTGTACTCTGAGAAGAGCCAATTTTCCAATCAGGATCAGCTCACAACACTAAGCTCTTTCTATGTACCGGCTTCTCCATTTGACCTTGACCACTGAAATCTTTTGCCAAGTGCACATCCATCCTGAATCCTCTGCTTCAAGCCCGACCACAAGGTCTCTTGCCTCTAGCTCCTTATGCTGTGTTAAAATCCCGCTGTGACTCAGGGATCCCTGCAGTAAAAGTTGTCCTTTATTTGCTGCCTTATTGTATAGATGGTTATATGGGGAAAATAAAAGCATACAGTGAGCTGCTCCTCAGATAACCTCTCTGGCTCAGGACCACACACTGCACTGTAAATGTTCAACATTCCAGGATGCAGTCCAAGCTGCGTCATCTCTAGGTTAAGAGGAAACTGCTCTGTGCAAACCTAACACACAGTCTCTTCCAGTTCCTCTGGTGTGTCCCTGTGCTTATGTGTCAGTCATGAAATGTCTCTGTTCATCCATACAATGAGCATAATGTAAAAGTTCAGTCATATGTAGGAAGGCAATTTAAAAAGCATGTCATGAAACTATTTTAAATAATTGCATAGTAATCTTTAGTGGACATTATTCTGAAAGCTTAGAAACTGGTTCCCTTGGTCAGTCATGGCTTGGATCTCCACCATCTTCAATCACTTCTCTCATGTTTCCATTGTCCAGAAGTACATAACGGTCTCTGTTCCCAGTTCCTGGTACACAGCTTCTAAATCCCTTGGGACATTCTCTGGGGAGCAAGGGTGTCATTGGTTATAAGGAGGCCACTCTTAGGGATATCCACATTGTTTTCAGATGAGGGATTCTCACCAGAAAGATCAAGCCATAAAGGGAGGGTTGCAACATTCATCCCCACAACCGCGGGAAAAGGAGAAGGGGCTAAGATTGAGGGTGTCAGTCACCTACTGACAAGGATGTAACCTGGACCCCACCTTCATAATGAAGCTGCTCCAAACCCACAGAAGGATACAGTTCAGAGTGCTTCTTGCTTGCTGAACACATATCCTCACTGCTGGAGGCTGGTGCAGCCCAACTCCTTAAGAACATAGGCTGCAGCCCTTGGTATGTGCCCAGGCCTCTCTCTATGTAACTCTTCACCAAGGCTGTTTATTTCTGTCCTGATAATTCTAAGTACATTCCCGTTTTTGTATTTTTTGAGCTGTTCTAGCAAATTACTGAATCCAAGGAATGGGCCTTGCCAACCTTGATTTCTATCTGTCCAAAAGGAGTTCATAAGGCATGGATGTTAGGATTGAAGCGCATCTAAGCTGGGATGGACTTGAGGGTCTGGGCCCCTCACTGTAGGGTCAGTACTAATTCCAGATAATGTCAGAAATGAACTAAACTCCAGGAATTCTTGGTATCAGACAGTTGGAAAGTTGACTAGTATGTTAAAAAGCATATATGTGGTGTCACAATATTGTGAGTAAAACAGGCTGTAAGTTATAAACTCACAAACTTTCTACTTATGAAAATGCATCTGTTTTGATTCAAACTATGCAAAGCCATAGACATGCATCTAATATAATGAAAAGAAAAGCCTGGCATTTTGGGAGGGAGCAGCAACTCTGCAGCTAGTGTCTAGGTGTCCCCCAAAGCCTCCCACAGTCATGGGTGGGGCTTTTTCAGAGGTAGCTGGATCTAGAGTGTGTGATAGGATTAAGAATGTGTGATTACTGAATTAGTCCACTGATTGGTTTGCCAAAGTTCTGGGTACAAGTGCTACCTGCCCTAAGGGTTGGTACCTAAGAGAGATTATAAAGGGACAGAAAGAAGTTGCTTTTGCCACTTGTCCCTTGTAGCTTTCTATCTTGCTGATTTCTGCCTGTCATAAACGATTCTTCTCTTCAAAGCCATGCTTCCACGTCACCTAGCCTTGGAGCCAGCCAACTACAAATTGAAACCTCTATAAACTGTGAGCCAAATAAGCCTTTCCTCCACTGACCTTGGGTGCCAGATATTGTCTCAGCAACTAACTAAGACAGTATCCAAATACAGGTATATTTAAAGTTTGACTCAACTGCCTAAGTGCACACCATCCCATTAAATTTGAACTTCCAATTTCAGAAGTAGATGTGGAAACGGTGAAGTGCACATGTGTCACTTCCTGCCCTCATTCCCACTTCTTAAGTCACTCTTTAATCAGCATCCAAAATAACTTTTAAAATCCTGGCATGACAAATAGAAATCACACCAATTCAAAGTTCAGTCAAAACAATGGAAATTGAAAAGGTTCAATACGAAATGCACATAATGATTAGAAGTTTGACTACACCTGCAATTCTAATCTTTCTGATGCTTATGATCAATGATGCCAAAATCTTTACCGCAAACACAGGTTGGCATTGCCAAAAAAGGCTGGCCACTGCAGTATCCGGCCATCCTAGAGCCTTAAAAACACAGGAAAGGTAGCCAGGCTGTATAAGCAGCACTTTCTGATGAATGTCAAACGCTATCATTTATGATTATGTGGTTCACATAAAGGTTTCAATGAACGTTTACTGAATTAAAATGAAAGACCAACAACAACTACATGATTTCTTGACAACCATTCCAGTTCTGTGTTCTAGCATTCATTCACGAGAATCTCGAGGATCAGTCATTCAGTCCATGAAAAACCTACATTGGACAAAGGGAGTAGGAAAGGGTGAACAACAGCTAAGAAGACTAGAAATAATTTCAGAGCAAATCTTTACT